AGTCCATGGTACTTTCAGCATTCTTCACCAACACCACAGCTCAAAAGCATCAACTCTTCTTTGGTCTTCTTTATTCATTGTCCAGCTCTCACATGCATGTGAGGTGACTGAAAACACCAAGGTTTACGGATAAAGCAACATAGCCCAATGGCAAACCAAAGCCTTCGCTGTCCAGTTGATGCCAACTCATATCCACCTTGTAGCAGGGGAGATGAGCTCCCTCGGGTTTCCAAGGCTCTAAGTCTTCATAGAAGCAGACCGCCACATCTTTCTCCCAGGAAGAAGGGGATGAGTTGGCACCCTGGACCGTTGGCTGCCAAGCGCTTAACGAGTGTGCCACGGTGACCAAATAACTGGGGTCACAAGTGGCCAGACCAGGAAGCGGGCAGACAGACACATTCTTTCACTAGGAGTCCATGGGTGGTGCAAACGGTTTAATATGCCTAGCGTCTAAAGGGAAGGCTGCAGGTTAGAGAACACCCACAGGCACCTCGGAAATAAGGCCTGGCAAACTCCTTCCAAGAAACCACCCTGTGGAATGAAATTTCATTCTGATGCTGACACCCATGAGGGCTCCACGACTCAAAATCAACTGGCTGGAGAACGCGCGGATTGCCCCGCAGAAGGGGCACCCGAAAGGAGCCGGGGTGCGATGTGGCCGGCACGACTGTGTGGACGGACTCCAGACCCCGCGCGGAGACCACTCACACTTCCTCCGGACCGGGTGCAGGCAGACCTGAGGGGCTCCAGCGTCGGGCATCCTCCTGCTTCCGCCCCGGGGCCTGGGTGCCGCAGGGGGCCATGCCCGCTGGCTGCCCTTTCGCGGGAGCCGAGATCTGGGTGGGAACAGGCGACCAAGGCTGAACGGGACACAGCGCCGCTCCTCTCAGACGCCAGCAGCCTCCTAGAGGGCGCCCGGCCGCCCGGCACCTCCCGGCACTTGAGGTGAAGGTACGCTAGCGCCGGTGGGAGGCGACTCCCGGGCCAGCGTCGGCCCCAATGCGAGGGAGTAGCCGAAAGCGCGAGGGCGGGGGCGGCCCGTCCGCGGAGGGGGCGGTCCTGTCCATGCAGGGGGCGTGTCCAGGAGCGTGTAGCAGCCGCGCGAGGGCGGGGGCGGCCCGTCTGCGAGGCTCTGGAGCGCTGATTGGCTGCGCGCCAGGAGGCACTAGGAGAGGGCGTATCCACATGTTGGCCCCTGCTCTCCCACTCCCCTCCCCTCCCCTTCCAGGCCGAGGGCGCGTGCGCGGGCCAGGCTGCTTACTTCCCTCGAGGGCGAAGGGCAGGCTCTTCTAGTCTGGACACGGGCTTTGCGGACTCCAACATGTCCGGGCCTGAGTGGGAGTCGCTGGAACAGTGTTTGGAGAAGCACCTGCCGCCCGCAGACCTGCGGGAGGTGAAACGCGTCCTCTATGGCAAGGAAACCAGGTGTGGGGCGCAGAGGCTGAACTGGAGGGTTTGGGCCCACCAAGTGTAGGTCTGAGACCGCAAGGGGAGCGCTTAAAGGGCTGGGGGATTCTGAGGTGGGGCGATAAAGACCTGAATTGGGGGACCAAGACTACAGGGCCCTGGATTGTACCGACTCGGGAGGCTGCAGGACCAGGGTGACCTTTACAAGCTTCCACCCACCCCACCCCTCGTCCCTGGAACCGGAAGTGGTAGGCCAGAGCTCCGGCCACCCAGCCCTGCTCCTGCGGGGTGCCCCGGGTGTCCCACGTGGGCACGGCCCAGGCTTGGTGGTGCCAGTGCCTGCAGCCAGTGCCCAGCAGCGCTGTGCAGTGATCTACCCAGCCTCCCCTTGCGACCTCCAGCTGACACTTGTGTGTAAAGGCCGGGTGAACCTGGTTGGTCAAGGAACCATGGTCTTGCGTGAGTTACCAGCTGTGGGCAACGTTTTCTCACTCCAGCACGTCTCACTCCCATGTCGCCGTCTTATTGGTTGTGGTGGAGTCCATTCTGACTCCTGCAGCCCCGACGTTTACAGAGTAGAACTGCCCCGTACAGTGTTTAAGGCTGTGACTTTTGGCAAGCAGAGCGCCATGCCTGTCTTCCGATGTGCGTCTGGGTGGGTTCTAACCGCCAACCTTTCAGCTAGCCCTTGAGCGCTTAGCATTTGCACCCACACAAGGCTGGAAAAGACGTGCCCCTCCGCTTTTCTCCTCTTCAGTCCGTTCTAATGTATCGCTGAACATATGTATCATATCCTGTGTCTCCTTTGCTTAATAAAACTCTCCCTTGGCTCTGGTGGCATAGTGATAAGGCACTTGACTGCTAACCGGAAGGTCAGCGGTTCAAACCCACTAGCCCCTCCACGGAAGGCATACAGGAAGATCTATATTCTGTAAAGATTTACAGCCTCGGAAACCTAAATGAGGGAAGGTTGGGCAATCCTACTTCCGTAGTGATACTGCCTCGAAAGCCCAA